CTGCGCAGCACCTCGGCCGGCTGTAGCGGGCGCGAGTGCGCGCCACCCGCCCACCAGTAGGAGGCAGGGGGGGGGGAGGAGTTGCAAGAAAGCGACTTCAAACCACTCACGCGTCGATGCTGTCTTCGAACGCCCATCGACTCAAGTCGAAATGGGCTGGAGCCGAACACGATTCGATCTAGACTCCTACAGATCCCCGAAACGAACATCTAAGGGAATGGTCCTCCTCCCGCCCTCCTCCCTCCTCCCCCTCCTCCTCCTTCTCCTCCTCTTCCTCCTGCTCTTCCTCCTCCTCCTTTTCCTCCTTCGCCTCCTTTTCCTCCTCCTCCTCCTCCTCCTCATCTTCATCCTGCTCCTCCTGCTCCTCCTCCTCCTCCTCCTCCTCCTCCTCCTCCTCCTCCTCCTCCTCCTCCCTCTCTCCCCCTCCCTTCACCCCTCTCGTCCCCCTCCCCCCCGCGCGCGCTCCCGAATATCGCGGAGACAGGGGGGAGACGGAGACGAGGAAGGGCAACTTTGTCACCAGACTGAAACATGTCCCTGTCCCTGTGATGAGTACCACCTTCTCCCAATGCCGATCCCGAGGATGACCTTAGTTTCTGAGGGCGCATCCCTGAGATTGTCATCGCCTTTTGGCTTGTGACTTTGAGGGGTAGTGGTAGTGGTAGGTTCGAGACCCTGGGCGATTCTGTCTGCGGCCCCTGGTTATAACAGGCCTCTCGGGGCCCTTGCGGAGGCCCGGAAGCCGCCGGGGACCTCCAAACCTCTGGACGGGATGGAGGCCGAAAGGGAACCGTGAGTGGAACAGAGAGGGAAGACAGAGGCCCTTGGCAAAACCAGGCGGGCCATGCGCATCGGAATGGCCAACCTGGCAGTTCCAGCAGGACGAGGAGGAAGAGGTCCCTGACCCTCCAGAACTTCATTTGAACTGGAGGGGGTAGCGATGCCTTCGTTGAGACCACCGATTTGGCACTTCCTTGCCTCCTTCTGAATCTAGCCACGTGGCGGGCGCCAGAATTAGGGGGAAGTGGGGGAGATCGAACAAGAACGCGCAACCACGGTCACAATGTAACAAGTCGCAGATGACTCAAGAGCCTCCTGCTGTCACGAATCAGCAGCTGGAGTTCCCTGCTGGGCCCCCCAAGGCAACACCCCGGGAAACGGCCGATCTCACCCCGAACAAGGGGTGCTCCTCCTCTTGATGCGCTGCTTCGGCGAGCGCGTACACCTGCTGCACAAGATCTGAAACGCTGGCAGCAGCGATATATGACCCAGGAGGACGAGGAGGAGGAGGAGGAGGAGGAGGAGGAGGAGGAGGAGGAGGACGGAGGAGGACGGAGGAGGAGGAGAAAGAGGAGGGGCCAGGCTGGGTCAAGGCCCAAGATTGGGGTGTGCAGTCGTTGTGCTACCACGAGGAGCGCCAAATGTAAGTAGCGAAGGGGCTCGTTCTGGCCACGAAGAGCCTCGGCCACGAAGAGGCTCCCAGCCCTAAACCTAAGGGACGGCCCGGACACCCGAGCCCCTCCGGAGCCCCGAAGCGCTCCTTGTTTCAGCGCCTTGACTGTCACCCGAACCCACCCCGAAGACCCGAACTTCGGGTTTGGGGGGGGGGCGGGCTTCATATGCGTTTTTCCCAGACATCCTGTGGTGTTAGGGTCCTCGTTTTGAAAAGGCGGTCCCCGCGTCTCCTTCCTCCCTCGTCCCTCCTCGCTCCTCCCCCCCATCTCCCTCCTCCCTGCGTTTCACCGACACAGTACAACGCTTCGTGGCCCCATAGGGAGCTCCACCTAAGGCCCCAGTGGGGGTGGCCATCTGCGTCCGCCACACTCAGTACAGCGCTTTGTGGCCCCATAGGGAGCCCCACCCAAGGCCCCCGTGGGGTCGTCCGCGTGCGTCCGCCACACCCAGTACAGCGCTTCGTGGCCCCATAAAGAGCTCCACCAAAGCCCCCGTGGGGTTGTCCGCGTGCGTCGGCCACACCCAGTACAGCGCTTCGTGGCCCCATAGGGAGCTCCACCCAAGGCCCCAGTGGGAGATGGACACATGCGTCCGCCACACCCAGAACAGCGCTTCGTGGCCCCATAAGGAGCTCCACCCAAGGCCCCCGTGGGGTTGTCCGCGTGCGTCGGCCACACCCAGTACAGCGCTTCGTGGCCCCATAGGGAGCTCCACCGAATGCCCCAGTGGGGGATGGACACATGCGTCCGCCACACCCAGTACAACGCTTCGTGGCCCCATCGGGAGCTCCACCGAAGGCCCCAGTGGGGGTGGCCACATGCGTCCGTCACACCCAGTACAACGCTTCGTGGCCCCATAGGGGGTTCCACCCAAGGCCCCAGTGGGTGTGGCCACATGCGTCCGCCAAACCCAGCCCAATACAGCGCTTCGTGGCCCCATAAGGGGGCTCCACTTAAGGCCCCAGTGGGGGTGCCCGCATGCTTCCGCCACGCCCACGTCGGCACATTCACACGTTTCGTGGCCCCATAAGGAGCTCCACCTAAGGCTTGAGTGGGGGTGGCCACATGCGCCCGCCACACCCATGTCGGCACATTCACGCGCTTCGTGGCCCCATAGGGAACCCCACCTAAGGCCCCAGCCACATGCGTCCGCCACACCCAGTACAGTGTTTCGTGGCCCAATAGGAACCCCACCCAAGGCCCCAGTGGGGGTGGCCACATGCGCCCGCCACACCCAGTACAGCGCTTCGTGGCCCCATAAGGAGCTCCACCTAAAGCCCCAGTGGGGGTGGCCACATGCGCCCGCCACACCCAGCACAGCGCTCCGTGGCCCTACAGTGAGCTCCACCGAAGGCCCCAGTGGTTTGTCCGCATGCGTCCGCCGCACTCAGTACGACGTTTCGTGGCCCCATAGGGGGTTCCACCCGCGGCCCCAGTGGGGGTGCCCGCATGCGTCCGCCACACCCAGTACACCCCTCACACGCTTCGTGGCCCGTTAGGCCCCCGCCACGCCCAGTATTCACAGTCATATGTCATATACATTTACACTAGGCGTATACATGCTCGCATTCATGCACATAGACTTACTCGCACGCAGACTCAATCACAATCAGACGCGCTCGCGCTCAGTCTCACCCGCGCTCAGTCCCCCGTGCTCAGGCCTACCGTTTCCGTTCGTGTTGTGTACCCCGCCACACATGTCGGTACACCCCTCGCACGCTTCGTGGCCCCATAGGAATCGCCACCGAAGAAGGTATTCACAATTGCGGCACTCACAGCTGCATATGGCTGGGTCCTTCGCCAGGATAATTTTCAACCTTCCCCGACCCCCACTGGGAGTGAGGGTAAATTGTGGTCTTCAGGTTGGGTTGGGGTGGCCTGGTGAGTGGTGGAATGGCTCCCCCCTGCTGGGCTGGTGGCCAGGGCCACGACGAGGAGCGTGACGGCAAGCCTGGGCCCGGTATGGGCCTGGCCAGGCCCAGTGGAACGGCCGGCGCCCCGCAGTCCGCGGCTTGTCCCTGTCCTGCCGACGCCTCGCCTCATGCTTCACTCAAGCTCGAACGAGCTCACCTGTAAGACGAAGCCAGGACGAGGATAACATTCGGCGAGGATGAATCGAGAATCTCTGAAACCTGGCGGCTCCAGAGGACGTATCGGTCGCCGCAGCCTTCCCAGAACGTTCCGGAACGCTTTGAGAGCGTTCCGAAACGCTCTGGAACGGACTTTATTCTCGTCCCAGCCCCGCCCGAACCTGTCCAACAGCGTGCATTGATCAATGTTGGCCATCAGGCCGCCAGGTGGACTTCACCCTTGAACGCCCGCGCCACGTCGCCGCCGCGCTGGCGAGGCGCGAGCCTGCCGTAGCTGACGTCCACATCCGACGTCACGATCTCTTCGTGACCGGTTCTTCATCCCAGATCGTTGTCTGACGACACCCGGGCACCGAGACGGACGTGACGAACGCCAATGGATCGGGGGAGGACCTGCCGTTGCGATGTTGTTCCTGACGCCAGGTTGCTCCAGAAGAGCGAGGAGCAAAAACAGTCAGTCACTTTCGAATTTCCGCACGCATTCCTTGGGTCGGCGCGGGCCCCCGCACTGGCAGGGTGGAGACGCCGCAAATTCGTCCCCGTGCTATTCTTGGCATGGGGCAGGCTGGTCCTGAGGGAAATGGGTCCTGGACCCCAAGGCCTTCCCCCAATGACCAGCTTTTGGTCGTCAGTCGTTTGTGGACAAACTCAGGGCCCGTAGGGCCCAGGGATGGCAACACTGGGCGAAACACTTCAGGACCCGTTTCCCTCAGGACCCGTTCCCAGATGTCCAGCGACGCAATCTTTTCAATGCGCCGCTCCAAGAGCTTCGGACCCCTTTCCTACCTGGGGGTAATATCTCGTCACGTACCCATTTCTGATGGTCCCGAGGCTCAATAACTACACCTGGAGGCCGAAACCGAGGAGCCACGCCGGGGTTGGAACCATCAGAACCTCCTCAGAGATCCGGATTTGCTTCATGGCGATCCTTGCTCCTCGGAGGACATGAAGGCTGGCTGGCGCGCACCCCTCGGGTCGAACGATCGGAGGGGATGGCAAGGAGGGGGGGAGCCAACCAGCTCACGCAGCTGGTCTGCCTGGCGCCTCTCGGCGCCTGAGACTGCCGGCGCCGGGGATGCGAACGCATCGACCAAGAGGCGCCCGGCGGCGGGGCCGCCGAGACCAAACGGATGTAGCATGCCGCAGATTTTGACCTCCCCCCGCCCCGCCTTCCCGGTGTTCGGGGGGAACGTTCGGGCGGGGGGCGGCTCATGGGGGAGAACAGCACGCTGGCGTCGATACGTTGCCGATATCAGCGATGGGCCACCGGCAGCAAATCCGCACGCTCCAGCACGGCTTGGGTTATCAGGCCCCTAGTGGCGATGCGTGCGCCCCCCCTGAACCGATCCCCCTCCAACGGTGTCCCTGATCCGGGGGAAACCGGGAAACCACAAGACACCGATACCGCTGCTCCCTGGACCTCCTGGGCTGCGTTCCGGACAAAATTTCCAAGCGAAGCCAACCGTGGCGACGGGGGCCTCCCACGAAGCCCAAAAGGGCGAAAACGCGGGAAGGGTAGCGATATCAGTACCGTTTTCCCCCCCTGACCCCCCTCCCTCCCCAGCCAGAACTCGGCTCTCCGGCGGCGGTTCGAAACGATTCAAGCAGCCCCAGAACGCGCTCGGCGAGGCGCAGCCATTGGAGAGCATTCCGAGACCAGGAAGCCGCCGAAATCCGACGAACACGCAAACAAAATCATTAACCTCGATCCTACTCCCCCACTGACGTGGGCCACCTAAAGACTGGACGCCTTCTCTGGGACCGGCTCTTCATCCCAATTCGTCATTTGGCAATCCTAGGGCCTGGTAAGGGGCCCTGGACGCCGAAATTAACAAATAAAAAGAATCCCGTCGTGGCGTCGGTTGTTTCTGTTGAGCGATGGCAAGGCTGAGCTTTCTCCTGCATGCACGCTGGCCTCTGCGGAGCGTGGACAAACCATTGTGTGCAATGCTAGGTTTAGTACGGTGCAGCTAAGCCCTTACTCCTACACTGCACCCTGCCTCAAATGTGTGTCTTTGCTTCTTTCGGTGGCACGTTCTAGTCCCCGCAATTGGTCTCACTGCCTCGCCTGGGCTCATGGTCACCATCCTGGGCGTAGCTCTTCGTCCCAGATTCATGTTTGATCGCCCCGGGGGCCCGACACTGGCTCCTGAGGGCCGAAAGCGAGGACGGCCTGCCGATGGAAAACATCGCATCTAGGGATCCCACGAAGGACGTGCGCGCCCACCCACGTACCTGAACACGGTCCCCCCACTCCTCGAGACCGGCCGCGTGATACGAACGTTCGGGCAATGCGTACCCTCGAAACCAACGTGGGTTCATGTACGTGTACGTCTTTCATGAATATCGTCGGAGATCTGAGATTCCCCCTGTCTCTAAAATCGGCAGAACACCCTTGAGCAAAACGCCCTTGAGTGAAAGCTGCCAGAGACAGTCCACGTGCGCACGGCACCGCATTCCGAATGGACCCCCGCGGGGTAGCTAACTAATCGACGTCCAAAAACAGGCAGACGTCCGCACCCAGCGCGTACCCAGCGAAACGCATGTCGATTAGCGAAACCGACTGGGAGCTGCATGCCAGTGTCGGGAGAACCCGTGCATGTTTCCGCTGTGGACTTGTCTGGGCGGGCGTTCTCTCAATGCCCGACCTTCCCAATGCCCCCTCCCGTCCGGCCCGAATCCCCTAAGGGGAAGAGGGGGGGGCAGGCAGGGATGTATCCCGAGCCCCGACGTTGCGAACAAAACAAACATTGCGAGGACACGTGCAAACTGGGTCTCAAAGGAGGTGCGCTCTCTTGGCATGGGGGGAACGGGTCCTACGGAAACGGGTCCTCGACCCTGGTGCCTCCGCCCAAGACGAATTTTTCATCCCGACCCGTTATATGACAGCCCCGGGGCCCCCAGGAGGGCAGGGTAGCGGTATCGGTACCTCTTCCTCCCCCGCGAAAAACTTCGACCGTACCTCAAAAATCCGATCCCCCCCGACCAGGCGCGAACTTATATCCCTATCGCAAACATGGGCACGCCCAACGCGATGACAATACTGGGGATGTGCCCTCAGGAACTGAGGGAACCCGTAAGGTCGGCATCGAAGTAAGGTGATGCCAAACACAGGGGTGGGAAAAGCATACACACAACAAAACAAACAAAACACACAACAAACACACACGTGGGATAAAAAAAAACACGTGGGAAAAAAACACACAGACGTGTGTGTGTGTGTGTGTGTGTGTGTGTGTGTGTGTGTGTGTGTGTGTGTGTGTGTGTGTGTGTGTGTGTGTTTTGTGTGTGTGTGTGTTTTTGTGTGTATGTTGTTTCAAACTGGCCATAATGCCCTCCCGTCTGGCCCGGGCCCCCCGAGGGGCGCGGCGCGGGGCCTCCACGAGCTCGCCGTGGGCCTGGGCGCCGCCCGCAGCGCACAGCGGCCCGCCCTCCAGCAGGCTGCGCCGGCTCGGCCGCGCGCCCTGGCAGTCGGTCACCACGCCGCCGGCCTCCTGGCGCCGTGTTGTGTGCTGTGCTGGCCGTGGGGTGGCGACGAGCGCCACGGCGACAAGCGGGTGGGACGACCATGCTCAATGAGGACCCAATGAGGACCCAATGAGGGCCCAATGAGGACCCAATGAGGACCCAATGAGGGCCCAATGAGGACCCAATGAGGACCCAAGGAGGACCCAATGAGCGCACCCGCGCGCATGCATGCCTTCGGCCGCCCTCCGGCGCGCAAGCTTGCTTGTGGCTCTGCGCAGCCAGCCTCCAGGGAGCCCCTGCATTCCAACCGCACGGCGCGACGGGCGTGGGCCGAACGGGGGGCCCGAGGAGTGAACAAAGCGAGGGGCCAGGGAGGACACCGGGGCGGAGGGGCGGCGACCGGGGAGGGAGCCGAGGCCTCCTGGTGCCAGCACGGCAGGTTCGCGCGGCGTCGGCGCGCGCGAAGGTTTCTGACACCGCGTGGGTCGTTCAACCTCGAGGCGATCGCGGCCCCGATCCGTCAAGGTGGAGTTCCGTCGGGTCCAACGGCGTTACCATGTCCCTCGGTGATTTTGCGTAGCAGAATTCAGCCTAGAAAGGTCTTCGACGGCGTCGCCGGCGCGCCAACGCCGCGTGACCCTACCGTAAATGACCAATGACCCGGGGACGTATATACCCAACCCTTAGCATGTGGCGAGTAGACATCGGATCACTCAGGCAACCATTGAATGATCCGCAATGCCCTTGAACGCTTCGCCCAAACAACGTCGGGCCAGAGTCAGATGTTTCACATATGCGGCGTCTCTCTTCAGAGTCAGGACGTTGGCAGGAGAGCGACCACGAGGGGGCGTGGAAAGATGTCAATGTGGAGGAGGGATGACTAGAGGTATAATTCGTGGGATTAGCAGCGCCTGCAAGGGTGCCGAACAATCTAAGGACGCCAGGGTGCCGTCCATATCCGTCCACGGGGCGACCATCAGCAGGGCTGGGATCACACCTGCCTGCGCCTCATGTGCTCAGCCCTGTGCCTGACTGCCGCCGGGTTTTATGCCAGGCCGCCCATGCCTCATGGACTGGTGGCGATAGTTGTACGGATCGCAGGCCCCCAGGGGACGGCGAGCTATAGTTGTGATGTGCGTAAGTCGTCACTCCGCTGGCCCTCCGAGGAGCCCACAAAAGGGGCGACAATTTCGCAGATCGCAGCCCCGCAGGGGACGGCGAGCCATAGTTGTGATGTGCGTGAGACGTCACTGCGCTGGCCCTCCCAAAAGCTCATCGCAACCCCCAGGGGGCGGCAAGGTCTCGTGGCGATCCGCGTAAGACGCGACTCCGCTGGGCCTCCCAGAAGCCCACCAAAGTGACGACAGTTTAGCAGATCGCATCCCCCCCCAAACCCCCTTGGGACGGCGAGGTCCAGTGGTGATCCGCGTAAGACGTCACTCCGCCGGCCCTTCCAGGAGACTACGAGAGTGTGGCGACAGTTTCGCAGATCGGCGAGATCTCGTGGTGATCTGCGTGAAAAGTACCTCCGCTGCGCCTCCCAGGACCCCACGAAAGTGGCGACAAGTTCGCAGATCGCAGCCTCCCATGGGCCGGCGGGGTCTCGTGGTGATCTGCGTGAGACGTACCTCCGCTGGGCCTCCCAGGAGCCCACGAAAGTGGCGACAATTTCGCAGATCGCAGCCCCCCAGGGGACGGCGAGGTCTCGTGGTGATCCGCGTAAGACGCACCTCCGCTGAGCCCCCCAGAAGCCAACGAAAATGCAACAATTTCGCAGATCGCAGCCCCCAAGGAATGGCGAAGTCTCGTGGTGACCCGCGTAAGACGCACCTCCGCTTGGCCTCCCAAGAGTCCACGAAAATGACAACAATTTCGCAGATCGCAGTCCCCCATGGGACGGCTAGGTCTCGTGGTGATCTGCGTAAGACGTACCTTCGCTGGGTCTCCCAAGCGCCCACGAAAGTGGCGACAGCTTCGCACACTGCAGCCCCCCAGGGGGCGGCGAGGTCTCGTGGTGATCCGCGTAAGACGTACCTTCGCTGGGCCTCCCAGGAGCGCGCGGAAGTGGCGACAATTTCGCAGATCGCCCCCCCCCTCGGGGGGCGGCGAGGTCTCGTGGTGATCCGCGTAAGACGCACCTGCGCTGGGCCTCCCCGGAGCCCGCGAAAGTGGCGACAATTTCGCAGATCGCCCCCTCCCTCGGGGGACGGCGAGGTCTCGTGGTGATCCGCGTAAGACGTACCTCCGCTGGGCTCTCAGGAACCAACGAAAATAGCGACAGTTTCGCAGGTCGCAAACCCCCGAGGGACGGCGAGATCTCGTGGTGATCTGCGTGAAAAGTACCTCCGGTGCCTTCCAGGAGCCCACGAAAGTGGCGACAGCTTCGCACACTGCAGCCCCTCAGGAGACGGCGAGGTCTCGTGGTGATCTGCGTGAGACGTACCTCCGCTGGGCCTCCCAGGAACCAACGAAAGTGGCGACAATTTCGCAGATCGCAAGCAGGGAGGAGGAGGAGGAGGAGGAGGAGGAAGAGGAGGAGGAGGAAGAAGAAGAAGAAAACGAGGAGGAGAAAGGAGGGAAGAAGGAGGATGGGGGAGGAGTGAATGAATGTTGGGGACCACGATGCCCTATTCAAAACGAAAATCCAACCAAGCGAGAATTAGGAAAAAGGTGTGGGAGACATGCGGCGCCCCGATCTCACGATCGACGGAGCATGTGGCCCAAGATCTCTCACAGTATGCTTTCTTTTCGCGCGTGTCCGACTGGCAAGGAAGAAAGGATTGGATGCGTTCTCGGAAGTCCGCGCGGATTTCTTGGATCTGCGCAGGGCCACCTTCCCCGGCGCGCCGAAGGCGGCGCCGGAGGCGCCGCTAGGGGGCTCAGCGCTGCTCAAAGCAAACGAATGTTTTCTTATTCGGCGTTTCAGCATTGGGCGGAAGGGGGGGGAGGGGGGGTCTGGCTCCGCACCTCTGCTTAATGCGACTATCTGCAGATATGCGTCCTATGGAGGAAACCCCACCTGCCGGAAACAGGCGCCTAATGTCTAAAAACGGTTTTAAAATATTTTGGGGAGACAATTCAAAAAAACGGTTTTCCCCAGCGCTGTAGTGCGCCTTTAGAAAACAAAAGGGAGGCGGGGCAAACTGGATCGCTGGAGACGCCCCCGCGAACGCCCTGGCGCCCTGCGTGCAGGGGCAGATTCCTCGCACCCCCTTTTGGCGTCAGGCCACGCCTGCCACGCCCTGCGACCCCAACGTGGATAGAGACTGCGCTCAGGGACCACTCCTTGCGCACCGCGCACCATGTCTGGGTTGCGAACAAGCCACGCCTAACACGCCCGAGCCTGGCGTGGAAAGAGACCGCACTTGGGGACCATCCCTTGCGCACGCCGTCTGGTGCCGAGAAGGCCACAAGTGCTTTAAGATGGCCTCCAAGATGGCGCAATATGGTCCAAGTTTGCTCAAGATGGCCTCATCAGACTGGCGACATGTGATGAAACTATTATGCAACAGGACAGGAGGGGGGCTAGACCAGGTTACGACGAAGGCCGGATCGCCCTCCAGGCCAGAAAGGCCCTCAGCAAGCCGCTCAGTTCGAGGCCGCACCAAGGCTCCACCAGGTTACAGCGAAGGTCGCACCGCCCTCTGGGCCAAATTTGCGGGGCTACACCAGGATACGATGAAGGCCGTCCCCCCTTCTGGGCCACGCAAGCGGGGCTACACCAGGTTACAACGAGGGCCAGCGCGCCCTCCAGGCTAGACATAACGGGCTACACCAAGCTACAATGTCACGTCGGCATTATCCCTGGTACCGAGGTCGATCGGCATCCATGGAATTTTTTCCAGGGGAGACAAATACAAAGATAGTTACTCGGATTCGAATTAATGGCAGTCGGGATCCGGGGGTGGGGGGAGGGGGGGGTCATCAGAACCTAACAGCGAAGACTGATAGGTTTCTAGTGGTGTCAAAAGAGAGCATCTTGACTCCCCAGGGCGGTCTGGGCGGGATCCGGACAAAACCGGACAAAAGGGTCAGCCCCAGGAATCCTTAGGAATCCTTAGGAATTCTTGGGAATCCTTAGGAATCCATTCCCAGAAAACCATTCCAGGCCACATTTGGAATGCCCGGAGCCAACTGTAAGCCACTTCGTGTTCTTCGTGTTCCCAGAACACCATTCCCAGGCCACATTTTGAATGTCCGGAGCCAACTGTAAGCAACTTCGTGTTCTTCGTGTTCCCAGAACACCATTCCCAGGCCACATTTTGAATGCCCGGAGCCAACGGTAGGCCACTTCGTGTTCTTCGTGTTCCCAGAGCACTGTTCCCAGGCCACATTTTGAATGCCCGGAGCCAACTGTAGACCACTTCGTGTTCTTCGTGTTCCCAGAACACAATTCCTGTACCATATTTTGATTGCCCGGAGCCAACTGTGGGCCACTTCGTGATCTTCGTGTTCCCAGAACACCAGTCCTGTGCCATATTTTGAATGCCCGACCTGAGGCAGGCTGAGGCCGAGGCAGGCTGGGGCCGAGGCAGGCTGAGGCTGAGGCTGAGGCACGCCGAGGCAGGCTGAGGCTGAGGCTGAGGCAGGCTGAGGCTGAGGCAGGCTGAGGCTGAGGCTCGGTGGATCCCCCATATGGGGCCACGAAACGTATGAGGGGTGTGCCGAAAAGGGTGCCGCGGTGCCATGCGAGCGCAGCCACGTGGGTCTTCGGTGGATCCCCCATATGGAGCCACGAAGCGTATGAGGGGTGTGCCGAAATGGGTGCGGTGCCGCCATGCGAACGCAACCACGGGGGCCGTCGGTGCAGCCCCCTATGGGGCCACGAAACGTGTAAGGGGTATGTCGACATAGGCGCTATGGTGTCACGCGAGCGTCGCAGCTTGGGCCTTCGGTGGAGCTCGGTATTGGGCCACAGGACGCTGCACTGGGTGTGGCGGACGCATGCGGGCACCCCCACAAGGGCCTCCGGTGGAGCTCCCTATGGGACCACGAAGCGTGAGGGGTGTGCTGAAACGTGTGATGGCGATGATGGATGATGATGATGATGATGATGATGATGATGATGATGATGATGCTGATGATGATGATGATGATGATGATGATGATGATGATGATGATGATGATGATTATGATGATGATGATGATGATGATGATGATGATGATGATGATGATGATGATGATGATAACGATGGTGATTGATGATGGTGATGATTGGTGATGATGAGAATGATGATGATGCTGCTGATGCTGCTGATGGTGATGATGATGATGCTGCTGCTGCTGCTGCTGATGATGATGATGATGATGATGATGATAATGATGATGGTGAGAGGAGGAGGGAGGGGGCAGCGGGAGGAGGATGGGGAGTGAACGCGGGGACCGTCTATTCAAAATGAGGATCCAATACCACAGGATGGCGGGGAAAAACAAGGATTCCAGATCCGCGCTGAGTTCCAAACGTTTGTGCTTACGCCGTCTTTTTTTGTTTTTTTTTCTCCGAGCCCGAGGCACCCCCGTCTGGCTGACCTCGGTCAGCACCCCTCGTCGTCGTCATCGTCGTCGTGGTCGCTCCCCGATCCGCGCGGCCGACCCGTGGCCGCTGCGGAGCAGATGCGCGGGGAGAGGAGGGAACGGGTGGAGAAGCGAGGCAGCGCAGGGAGAAGCCGCCGAGCCATCACGTGGGCGCCCCCCCGTCAGCGGCCCGCCGTTGCGGCCGCCACTCGAGGCGCCTTGTGCGCGGGTTCACCGAAGGCGCCCTCCTCCGCCACGCCGCGCCCGCTCGTGCCCATGGGAGTGGCCGGCGGTGCCGGGCGCCGAGCCGGTTCCGCGGCGGCGCTGCCGCCGCCGAGCGCGTCGCGCAGGAGGTGCGGCAGTCTCTGCGAGAAAGTGCTCTTCTTCGGCTGCCGCGACCGCGCAAAGGGATTGGCCGACGCGGCGGGCGCGGGCGCGGGCGGCGGTTTCTCGTGCGCTGCGGGGGCCTCCGCCGCCGCCGATGCCGCGGGGCCCGGGGGCGAGGCCGCCGCTGCCAGCGGCGCCGCCGCGGCTGCCTCGGAGAGCGTCTCGGAGGGCGTCTCGGGAAGCGCCTCGGCGCGAGCCCGCTGGGGCTTCTCGGGCTCGGGCGGCGGCGCGGACTCCGGCGCCGCGGGGCCTTCCCCTGCCGCGGCGGCGGCCGCGGCGGCCTCCCACGCGTCGGCCGCCCCGACCGGCGCCAGCCTCTGCTCGAGCTCCTCCCCCGGCTGGAAGAGCGGAGGCAGCGGGGCGCCCTGCCGCCGCCAGGCCCACGGGGAGGCCCCGGCGCCCGCGGGCGCGCGCCGCGCGGGGCTCGGCGGGGGGCCTCGCGGCAGCGCCGAGACCTGGTCCGCGAGGCGGTCGCGGCCGGCCTTCTCCGCGAGGCGCTGCATCATGCCCAGCAGCCGCGGCGCGTCGCCAGTGGTCCGGACCATGTGAGCCACGTCCAGCGCCCCGTCGGTCTTGTCACCCTGCGCCAGCCGCCCGAACAACTTGATGGCCCCAGCCTTCCACTCCGCTTGCAACCGCGGGATGTCGTCGCGCTCAGACGCCAGGAGCCCCAGGGACGACGCCGTCTCGATGTGCTGTAAGAGCAGCCACTTGCGCAGCGCCTCCTCTCGGCGAGCACAACGGGTGCGGTTTGCGAAGGGTGCGGTTTGCCTCCCGTCTTATGTGCCCCTCCCGCCCCCCGGAAACGGATGACACTGTCACTCAATGCGACCGAATCACATGACACTGTCGCTCCGTCTAATACAGTGGAGCACACATCGAGGATGACAGTGTCGCTCGAAACGACGACAATTATGACATTGTCTCTCACAGAGGCCCCGGAAAGGCCACCACAAAGCGACTCGCAAACCGCACCCCGGCGTAACCGCACCGATTGTTTGGGCGCCCGAATTATCCGGGGTAACTCGGGTCCGGGGTAACTCGGGTTTGGATTCCCCGAGTTATCCCTGACCCGAGTTACCCCTGATGATTCGGGGCTCTGGACGCCCGAGTTATCCCGGGTAACTCGGGTCCGGGGTAACTCGGGTTTGGATTCCCGAAAAGCGAACCCGAGTTATCCCTGACCCGAGTTACCCCTGATGATTCGGGGCTCTGAATTGTAGTCGCCGATCCTCGGTGGCGCTGCTCGCCGCCGGCAGCGGGCCCAGCGGCAGGCGCCAGGGCAGCTCGTGCAGGCGCCGTGGCGGTTCGGCGGCAGCTCCCTCCGCCGCGCCCGCGCCGTCCGGGAAGCCATCATCTCCGCCGTCGGGCTCGACCTCCGCGCACAGCAGCGACCCGCCCCTGGCGCCGAGGATCCACAGCGGGCCGGCCTTCTTCTCCTCCTCGGCGAGCGACAGCACGGGCAGCCACTCGCCCCCCGCGCCCGGCCGGCCCCAGGCCCCGGGGCCCGAGCCGAGCAGGAAGGCGCGGACCGCTCCAGTGGTGTCGACCGCCACGGGAAACAACTCCGCCGACAGGCCGACCCAGCGCAGCCGCGCGCCGGGGCTGAGCGGCAACCTGCCGGCTGCCAGCCGCGAGTGCGTCTGGGCGTGCAGGAGCAGGAACTCCAGGGCCTCCTCGTTGCCCTCGCCGAGGGGGCCCTCCTGGCAACCCGGCTGGCGAGTGACCGCGAGGAGCAGGCCGCCGCGGGCGGCGAGCGCGTAGGGCAGCCCAGGCAACGACGAGACGCCGAGCGGCAGCCCGCTGGCGCTGTAGATGCGCAGCATCCGCTCTGAGGTGGCGGCGGCCGCGAAGCCCTCGCCGCACGCGACCGCCTCGGGTGCCTCGCCAGGTGCACCCAGGGGCGCGGAGAAGGTGGCGCGTTCCCAGCGCTGCGCCGGGCGCAGCGTGAGCCTCGGGGCCGAGCCCGCGCCGGACGCCAAACAGCTCAGGCTGTCGGACACGGCGGCCATGCAGTGCCCCGCGTTTGCCTCCACGCGCTGCGGCTCCGGCTCCCCAGAGTGCTGCACCTCCAGTCGCCCGCTGCTGGGGTAGAACGCCACGCGCCCCCTGTCGTTCCATGCCAGGAAGGGCGGCCCAGTTCCTGGTGGTTGGGCCACGCCTTCTAGCTGGTGCCATCGCGGCCCGGACACCGGCGTGGCAGGAGCGGTCTGCCCCAAGTCGTCGTCCGCGGCGGCGTCGATCTCCTGCGGCTCTGCAGGCGCGGCGGCGCTCTTGCGCCCGGCGGTGCTCGGCCGAAAGTCGTCGTCCGGCTCGTCCTCGGTGCACTCCAGGCCGCTCGCAGCTGGGCAGCTGACCCCAGACATGACTGCAGGAAGGCCTCTTCTGGGCCTCGGGCGCGGGCTTCTCGAGCTCCGCCGGGGCGTGCGGCGCGCCCCCTGGCCCCCCTCCCCAAGAGGCTCACTGGCGCGGCTTGAGCCACGTTTGTGCTTACGCCGTACTCCTGTTTCCGAATGCGCCCAACGTCGCGCCCCGCGCCCCGCGATGCGCGGCTGTTTCGCGGCCCCACGCCCTCGCGCCACCACCCTCTCGGAGCAGGGCAACCGCTCCTGCTCAGACCGCGACGCGCGAAGCGCGACTAGACTCAGGATTGCGGGCGTTGCCAGGGGGGAAAGGGGAAGGGGCCGGTAACATTGCGGTTTGCCCCCCCCCCCCCCCCCCCCCCCCCCCCCCCCCCCTAGCCCCGCGGGGTCTGGGCATGGGTATTCCTGGGCACTCCCAAACGGCGCCGGCGCGAATCGCAGTGTCACTGGGGGGGAGGGTTGGGAAACCAAAAGGCATCCATACTGCTACTTCGCAAACCTCTCCTGGGGTGCCTGGCCAGCATTTCGAGGCGAAGCCAGCGGTGGCGACCAGGGCCGCCCAGGAGGCCCAGAATGGGGAAACCTACTGAAAGGTGGGGGTGTGGCTATCTTTTCCTGGGGGAGAAAGGGGGGGGGGCGGCCGAGGTCTGAGGGGTCGGCCCGCGGCGGGGATCGGCCGCCGGGGGCCCCTCCTTGACGAGCAGCGCCCCCGCGGCGCCACAGCCAGCGCCGCCCAGCCCGAAGAAGGCACCCAGCCGGCCGCTGGCCACCTCGACAGTGCGGCACGAGGCGCCTCATCCGCCGCTCCGTGCTGCTGCAGTTGCTGCAGGAGCTCCTTCACAGACCGAGCCTCTGGAGACAACACGACCCGTCGGACGCCTTGCCGGGGGCAAGAGCGGCCCCCCCGCCAGCACCCCAGGACCTAGGAAAGGCACTACCCCCACGAGGGAGGAGACGATTCCGAGACCAAGCCCTGCTGGGGCTGCAGGGAGATGGGTGCAGTTCTGGAGCACCCGGAACACAAGAGGGCGGCCCGCACTGCCAGCTGGATCAGAAACGTGTACGGGTCTTGCCCCCTCCTTAGCACGCCTCGAGACACGGGCCTGAACACGTCAGTTCTACATCGCACGTCCTCTTGTTACTCACGGTTGGAGACGAGCAAGAATGTTGCTGCCCTGTGGCCCGGACATTTGCCACCGTGCCTTGCCTGCCACCTCCACCTCCCCATATGCCCCTCTTTCCGTCCACCGCATGAACATCGAGATTTGTGAGGGAGGAGCCCTGTAAGCATCTTGTGTTGTTCCGCCAGGTCCATCGCGCGCTTGTGTGAACCGAGCCGCAGTTGCACGCTGCACCGAATGTGTGAGGCGGGCGCTGGTGACGCAGGCACGAGCGAGGACAGAGAAGTGACAAGAAAGGGATACGCAAGTAGGGACGATGAAAGGATGGAGACACGAGGGAGAGAGGGAAAGCAAGAGGGGAACAGGATGAGGCAAAGAACTTGTAACTTGTAACGTTCTCAAGCCGAGAACCCCGAACCCCTGGAGGGGGTATATCGTCTATCCTCAATGCCGCCCGATCCAGTGCGATGACCATGACATGTCGGCCAAGCAATCAAAGCGGCCATCACATGCCGAATCAGGGCATATGAGCGAGGACAGAAACTGCAATACATGGATACACAAGCGAGGGAGAGAGGAAGAGCAGGAGGAACAAGATGATGCAACGAACTTGTCGCGCTATCAGGCTGAGAACCCCGAGCCCCCGAAAGGCGTCTATGGTCAATGCCGCCCGATCAAATGCACCGACTATAACATGTCGACAGAGCCATCAAAGTGACCATCACATGCCGAATCAAGGCATATAGACTCGATGTCCTGACAACCCTGCCTCCGATCATAATCCCCGATTGCATGACTCGATCACTCATTCGATCTCGATCCGTACAACATCCAACACGAACCGCACCATACGCACAAACCAACAGCATGTCCGATCCGACCTATACAAAAAAGTTCAAGGTTTCAAACTGCCGAACAACTCCCGTATAACTCAAACTGCCTTCAAACGAGTCAAGACAGGTTGGGCGTCCTGGACGTCGAAATCAAATTCCTCTATCAGACAGACTGCGCATAAGCGGACTGCTCCCCGATTCTGGAGACGGCTGGACGCGTCCTTACAATGCTACCTGAAGGCGATCCAAAGCCGATCGCCGCCGCAGAGCCAACTGATCGCCAAAGGGAAACCGCTGAGCGCTCTGCCCATGCCAAGCTCAAGCTTGGGCTGCCCAGCATCCGCACACCAAGAACAGCTGGTGGCGCAAGGCTGCAGAGGGCGCCTCAGCCAGGTGGTCGCCAAAAATCGGCAGGTGGAGCGATGCCAGTGGACCCCGGGCCCCATGCGTCCCATGCCATGGCGATTCATTACAACTCACCCTGATTTACAACAAAAACGTGGCAACCCCGATACGCCACACGCAACAAGTACCGTGTTGACACGGAGCTGAACACGGAGATTGAACACGTACATTTGGCGCGGTACATTCGCCAAAACAACGGCCAACACCATGAGTCAACAGGCAGCGTGTGAACACGGACGCTTTGAAATCCGTACGTAAGTGTTGGGCTTTAACACGGGCGTATCAGGGCGGCTGAGCGTGGCATGGCATTTCGTACATGGCTCATCGTAACCTCGGAGGTCGGATTTGGTCGGTCGCGCCCGTGGCCTCGGGGCCTCTTGTGGCGCAGGGGATCGGGCTCGCTTGGCTGCGCCCGAGGCCTTGTACCCCTCGTTGCCCTGGATGTCGGGAGATAGCTGCTCGTAGCCCGTGGCCGCATGGCCCCGTGTGGACGTTGAAGCTCGAAATCGCACAAGGGTGCGCTCCTACAGTCGGTCTTGATTGGAGAGGACACGCGAGAGGACACAAGACCCTTCCGCGGTCCACATTGCTATAGGAATGTAGGAGACATGGGTCGCAAGACACAGGACACGAGGGTACCCTTGATCTGGCAGGGTCGACCTACTAATCCGGGCCGCCTGTACTCCTCCAACCCGCGGCCGTGCCAACCTGCCCCACGCCCGGGCCGGGCGACTCGAAAGAACAACGAAAACGGGCAAGGCACCCGCTGCGCGGTCAGATTCTTTTGCTCAGCGTGTCGCGGCCGCAGTTCCTGCAACACACCATGCCCCGCAGTCGGAACGCGTGCCCCTCCGCTTCGTGGGGCGGGAGGCTGGGAAAAGCTCGGAACGCTGACGCTTGGGAATTGGGACGTGGTTCGCATGTCGCACCGAAGCGCGTTAGGCCAGAACCAATAGCGCAATACGCCAAGCAAACCTTACCGACCGCAATTCCGACGATCAGCCCCGAGGACTCTACCGGACTCGGCATGTCGAACATCTTGTTCGCTGAGCGCGAATCTCCGCCATCCGCCGTAGGCACTGAATGGAATATCTCCAGGTCCCTTCGAATTTTCTATCTGAGTGCTGCACCAAACATGCACGGGGCCCGGAATCCCCAGGGGCGCATTTCTTGGGATGTTCCGCATGCCACGTGGGGCTGGCGGCACCATTCTTGCAGAGGCCAGAAGAGAGTCAAGACGGGCCAAGAGGGTCTGTACGGTTGGATCTAAGACAGAAGAACATCCTTCAACAACGTGGCGGGACCCTCCGCCAGCCAAAACACCCCAAACCAAAGATCACCTATGCTACCATCAACCCAGAATGCACAAGAACACCCAACAAACACGAAGAACATTGAAGTACCCTCCCCGAACCGACCTCGATCTTATACCTCGCGCCAACCGTAGAGGGCACTGAGAACGGCTAAGAGTGACCTGAGTCGGCCCAGGGGGGCCGCAAGACGCCAAGGACGCCCTGCAGGCTGCCCGAGAGGCCGTCGCTCCAAACGAGGATCCCGAAAATGGGTCCCGATATGCCGACACTCACGGGGCCCAGGGGCACACAAATCAAGATACAAATCCCAGGATTCCAAATGTTTTCCATAGTTTCTGGAGTTCCGTCTTCCCCTCTACTTCCCATAGTTTCCCTTATGTTCCTGGGATTCGGCGTTAATTTGTGTATGTGTGATTTCCTCTTGAGACAAGTGCGTCCTCGCGGGTTCGACCTTCAGGGTCCCCAAGACAGCCACAGAGACCTCCACTATCGCACCAAGGCGGCCCGCTAGACCCTGGACAGAGCCCCGAGATCGGCCCAAGAGGCATCCAAGGCGGCCCCAAAGGCCCCCAAGACGGCCCCAAGAGGGCCCGAGATGGCCCCAAGATGGGGACCTCGAGTTGCACGTGCTCCCCCAAAAAAGCTGAAGACCCCGAACATGCCCCGAAGAGGCCTCTCGAAGGGCACCCGCGAGGCCCCGAAAATATACCAATAGCTCAATCAGGAGAACTCCGAGAGGCCTCTGCGAGGCACCACAAGATACCGAAACACGCGTCGGAGCGGCCTCTGGTCCACAACCCAGACGCAGTGGCGGGATGGGCCGAAGGCCAATAGATACCGGGCACGGAGGGACAGCACATGGTACTCGCCGTGTGCTGCCCAGTGAGACAAATTTCCATAAGCGTCTCACACGTGGTTTCAGCAATCGCGTTGGGCGAAACGCGGCTTTTGCGGCACAGGGCGTGGACGTCACAAACGAAAATGGCATCAGCACGGCGAGCAAGGGGGGTCACGGGGGTAGGACAAACGTATATATAATAATAATAATAATAGTAATAATAATATTACTAATAATAATAATAATAATCTAATCAGGATGGGGCAGACGCCATCATAGCACATGGCGTACCGTACGGTGGTGTTGATGGGGCGGAGGTGAAGGAGGAGGAGGAGGATGAGGCGAAGGAGGGAGAAGATCCACTGGGGTTCTCCTCCATACGTTAAGCACATATGACAAGGCATCTTGCTATAAGACACCTAGGGGCACATCCTCCGTCGACCCTGAGCTTCGTCAGGTGCCCCAGGAGGCTCTGCGGGCGTATCTGGAGATGAGAAACCATCCTGGGGCACCTGCTGGCAGGCGGGTCTCATGTTTGGTGTGCCTACCTCCGGCTCCCTCCCATCCTTCCCCTCCACCGCAGCGTGCCACCTTGCCTCGAGAGAGGGTGGCGAAGTCGCTGTTGGGGCAGCGGCGGCGGCGGCGCCGGGAGGCAGCGGTGGCGGCGGCGTCAGGAGGCAGCGGCAGAGACGGTGCCGGTGGGCAGCGTTGGGAGGCAGGGGTGGCGGCTGGCAACGGCACTCTGTGTGGCGAAAGCTTCGAGGACTGCTGGCGCGCTGGCAAGGCCGTGGCTTACGGCACCCAATGCCTACGCGGCAATCTAAAAGATTCCGCGTGGTCCGCTGCACGCCGCGAGGCCACGACGAACTGACATGGGGATGATATCGGATAGCGGCTGGCATTCCCACGGGGGCGCGCGCACGCAGGTGCATTGATGGTCGTCGTTGCTGTCAACGCCGAGATCCAATCATCAAAATCTGTCCCCAGAACCCCTCCTGGGGTCCACTCTGTCCAGATTTTTGAATTGCTTCCAGCCGTAACACAGAGCTATCAGCACAGAGCTTGAAGCGACAGCGGGGGCGCCCCCGAAAAACTTGGACCAAATCTACTATTACCCACGCTGTCTGGGCCGCGGCGAACTGAGTGCCACACGCAAACAGCGCTCTGCCAATGCCGGGTCCTGCGTCGGCTCGGTGCCGACCAGCGCCTGAGCGGACAGCAGAGTGGGCAGGGAGACCAGCCCCAAGCAGCCTTGAGGGGGACCTCAGCGGACTCGAGGCGGCCTCGTTGGCTTTGAGGTGGCCTTGGGACGGCCTTCGGCAAAATCGAGGCGGCCTTGAGGCGGACTTCAGCCGGCCCTACGCGGCCCCAAGGCGGACTTCAGGCGGCCTTCGCACCGCGCAACTGACGCTCAAAGCGATTGGAACGTTTGTATGGCTTCGAGGTTCCAGGGGCCCCACGGGGAACAAATGACTCCATCTCTGACGAGACCCCCGATCGTTACATGGATTCCCCGCCAGAGGGGGGCCCAGACGGCAGATCGGCAGACCTGTGTGCTCAGAAAATCCCTGACTAATGGTGTGTTCATTTCGTGTGTATTGCAAAATTGTGTTGACTCCCGGCTATGCTAAAGATCGCCGCAGTGCCGCGATGTTCTGCAGAACTCAGAAAACGAGTTTTTCTCGAGTGGTCGATCAGCCAGGTGACCTAACTTCGCGCATCGCGCCCCGCGATGTGCGGTTGTCTTCGCAACCTCGCGAGGTCACCTTGCATAAGGGCAACTCTCCGGCCGAGGCCGTGAAGCGCGAAGCACGATTATCTTCGTGCCCTTGGGGGGACCCAGGACCTCCAATTCGCGAAACGATTGGGCGCTAGCGATCCCCAGGCTCTCCTGGATCTTCCCGCGATGGCTTTCCAGAGGTCCTGTGAGCGCGGCCAGAAGGAAGCCTCGACCTCAGGCCCCAAAATGGGCCCCCGCAGAGCACCCAAGATGCTCCAAATAGTCCCCCCCCAGGAGGTCCCAAGAGGCATCTAAGATTCCTTCTGTCGACAAACCCAGGCACTGTGGCAGGGTGCGCTGATATCCGGGTCAAACCAGGACGCTTTCGAGCATGTATCAGGACGGCATGTTCGTCGGCCATGCGTCCTGAGACACTTCACGATATTACATACTTAGTTGCGGCGTCAGTGCATCTTGGTGCTAACGTCAGGGTGTCGCGTGTCAGAGAGGGCATGTGAATCTTCAATCTTGCGACATGCCTGGACAACACAGCAATTCCGACATGATGCGCTGGAGCCCACAGGGGTGGGGGCATCGAAACTCTAATCCGAAAGACTGCGGGAATCACCCTTGTCCTCCTCCTCCTCATGATCCTTCCCCCTCCATCTGCGCCTCCCCTTCCTCACCCTCCTTCCCCTCCTCCTCCTCCTCCTCCTCATTATCCGACCCTCTATCTGCTCCTCCCCTTCGTCACCCTTCGTCCCCTCCTCCTCCTTCTCCTCCTCCTACTCCTCATCATCATCTCATTAGCATGTCAGCATCGGCGGCATTATCATCATCAGTAGCATCAGCAGCATCATCATCACCGTCATGTTCATCTTCATCATCAGCATCAGCATCAGCAGCATCGACATCAACATCAGCATCAGCAGTATCACCAGCAACATCATCATCATCATCATCATCATCATCATCATCATCAACCTCAACATCATCATCATCATCATCATCAACAACATCATCTGCATCATCATCATCATCATCATCATCATCATCATCATCATCATCATCATCCTCATATCATCATCATCATCATCATCATCAACAACATCAACATCAACATCAACATCAACATCATCATCAACAACATCATCATCATCCGTGTCCGCCTTATGATCATGATTATTCTCCTGCGCTCCCCTCCACGTCCGTCTCCTCCGCCTCCGCCACTCGAGAAACAAACCATGAAAATGCTAGACAATATGAGATCCACTGCTCCGTCGCAAAACCGGCCAGCCACGCAGGGACTCTGAACTCCCCGCATCTTGCCAGACAGACGAGAGAGTTGAGCAGGAACACGAGAAAGTGGCGGAGCAGTATGTGAGCGGGGGAATCAGAAGAAGTGGAGGATGAGGGGCGCAATGACGAACCAAAACAACAAGGTTGGAGAGGAGGCGGAGGACAACAGGTAATCCGGGGGCTCAGGGCACAGCATCATCCTCCCTCCTGTCCGCACTCTGGAATGACGCACTTGTGCGTGGGTGCGACCCGCGCGCTGGCGCCCCACGCGCTCGGCGGCGGTTGGGTGACGCCCGATGGCGCTGCATTAAGTAAGCGAAACGGGGGGGGGGAAGAAGAGGAGGGGGCTAAAACGGAGCTCAAGAACCGAAGGATTGGGTTTCGGACGCGACCTGGCGCAAAGGGACGTCCTCTACCACGTGCGCCGTCTAACGGTGGTGCTGTGCTGTGCTGTGCTGTGGTGCTGTGCTGTGGTGCTGTGCTGTGGTGCGGTGCGGTGTGGTGTGGTGTGAAGGGGCCCCAGGACACACAAATAAATACACACAAATAAAAAGATCCCCCATATTTTCCTATGTTTTCTGGGTTTCTGTCTTCCCCCCCACTTCCCGTATTTTCTCATATTTTCGGGGGAATCGAGGATTAATTGTGTCTGTGTGTTTTTTCCTCTCCTGATTGTGTGAGAAGAGCTGGAATGACACAACCTCTGCTCTGAAGCAGCTGCTGCACGGAGCAGCTGGCCCGCGCGTGCGAGAAATGCCGGCCGCGGAGCGGGAGGCAGAGGGAGCGGAACGCGGCGGCCCGGCCGGGGGGGCCTCGGACGCCCCGGCGCGGGCCGGCTGCGTGTGGGGGCCCGGAGGGATGTGCGAGAGGGAGGGGGGGGGAGGGGGAGGATGGGGGCGGGGGGCGAGGGGGGAGAGGGGAGGAAGAGAGGGAGAGGGGCAAGGGGGAGTAGGATTATTAGGGGGGGTAGGGGGAAGTTGGGGGGAGTGGGGGCGTAGGGGGGGAGGGGGAGGAGGGAGGGCGGGAAGGGGGTTGGGGGAGGAGGGGCGGGGGAGCGGGAGGAAAGCGGTAACGGGGGGGTATGCTTTAAGAGGGAAAAGGGGGGAGGGGGGGGAAGGGGGAGGGGCGGGAGAGGAGGGGGGGAGGGGAGGGGGCGTTGCAGGGCTCTGCTCTCGACTGGCCCTGCGAGCGTGTCCCCGATGGGATCCATTGGTCCTGGCTCTACTCTGTATGCTGCGGCCCCTCTGGAATCCATCTCCCGAGATCAATAAGCGTTTATACAGCCTGGGCAACTGAATGGATGGTTTGCGGGTATCCTTTTTCACTCGTTTGACAACCGTTTAAATAGTTTGAGCCAACATGGCTACGGACACTAGCTGTCATCTTGCCGGAGGTGGCATTGCTACCCATCCCTGGCGGAGCTCTGACCAGAGGTGGCAGTGCTGAGCACCTCTTGTGTTGCTTGCGCGGAGGCGGCATTGCTACGCACCCCCGTGCCTGTAAGTAAAGAGCGCTCTCCTAAGCACATTCCTGAGCGGGAAACGCATTCCGGTCACCTGGAGCCTTTGGGCCCCCGCGGCAACACGATGCAATGCAACACTGCTGCAACAGATGCTGTGCTGTGCTATTTTCAATCGGAACCAACGAACATGTCATACATTTCGGCTCTGCCGAGCCTGTTCTTCCACGTTCCTCCTGTCCCGCGGCGGCGGTGTCAACTGGAACGTCGCAAGGGAGTCGAAGCCTCCGGCCTTGGAGGAAAGGGTGAGGCAGGGGCCAAAAACAGTTCAGAGTTAAAGGCTCGCGCAGCCGCAAACACAAAAACAAATATCAAAACGTTAATGGCGACAGTCACGCCTCCTCACTACAACGCTCGCAGCCCTAACGCTTGGCGCACCTGCTGCATTCCTGGCAGCCTTCTCCTCTCCGTGGTCTCCTGGCGCCACGGCGGCCACGGGGCGACCTCCGCCGTTGGCGCTGCCTCAGGCGTCGCCCAGCGCAGGGCCCGGGAGCGCGGCCGAAACGTCGACCACGGAGGAACTCGACACTTCGAAGCTCCACTCGCGCCCAGGAAGATCATGTCCTTGCCTCGCGCCGCGAATCCGGGTTTGGGCGGGTCCTTGACCCTGGCCGCGACGGCGCCCCCGGAGGCAGGGCGAGCAATTGGCCGCCCCCCGGCCGCGCGCCGCTGGCGCCAGCTCGCGCGCTGCACGGCAGACGGCCACAGCCGCTGCTGATCAGCAGCCGGCAATGACATCAATGCACTCGCGCGACCCTTGATGAGGCCGATGCCGCGCTCCGCGCGGCCGCTTGCATAGCGGCGAAGTGGGCCCGCGCGCGTGGCCCCTGAAGCTTCGAGGCGCGGCCCGCATGGATGCAGAAGACCGCCTGCGCCTGGAAGTCGAGCCCGGTCGTCGCCACCGCGGCGTCCAGCCCCCCGATGCACTACTCCGCCGTCTTGCGCTCCAGCGGCGCGGTGAAGTACTGGACCTTCGCCTCCGAGTCGTCCGCCTCCGCGCGGGCGCCCCAATAAGCAGCGCTGCCGCTGGCCCTGGCGCAGCCGGCGCCGACCTCGGCGAGCGGGGCGGCGTCGCCGGCCGCCACGGCCGCCCTCGCGTCCGCGATGTGACGGCCCTGCTGCGCCACCTCGGCGCGCGTCAACACCTGGCACGCGCAGAGCAAAATGTACTGCGCCTTCCGCAGCGCGCTCTCCTGCAGCGAACTCGGCCAACGCCCTGGTGGATGGGGGCCGTTCAGGTCAACCGAAAGCTGCCCTCCTGGCCGGGCCGCTGGGTCCCAGCGGTAGTGCGTGCGCGTGCGCCCTGCGTTGAGCCTGCACTCGCGGCACTCCTCCATGAAGGTGGGGCGCCCTTCTGCTCGATGCTTCGCCAGCTCCGCCAGCGAGACTGCCGCCCTGATTGCCTGGGCCACCATGGCGCGACCGCGCGCCAAGCGCACAGCAGCGCGAAGCTGCCGCAGCACCTCAGCATCGTCCTCCGCGATGTAGATGCTGCCCTGCACGCGCTGCAACTCCAAACTTCTGTGGTCTGGCAGCCGCAGCGTGCAAGCCCCGGGCGCCCACTCGAGCCCACACTCCTCGATGGCCCCCCCCAGCGGGAAGAACGGCTGGAAAGGGGTATCAGGCCCAACGTGCACCATGTCGCCCTCCCCCATCCTGGCCTCCAAGCTGCCGGTCGCCGTCTGGAGGTCGACGCGCCGCGTCTCGACCCCGGGAACACCCCCCAGGGATTGAGCGCATCTCGTACGTGGCGCCCTTGTCGGCGAGCAGCATCCGCTTACCGCGGACCTTCACCAGCCGCGCCGCGGCCACTGCCAGGCGCGGGCTTGCGGCCGGAGACGTCGGCGTCGCCCATCCGCCCAGCCACTGAGGGCCCGCGTCCACGGGCGCGACGGCCAGGGCAGCGCCCAGCGATGCCTCGTCTGCCAGAGCCCTGACCGTCGCGGTCACTACGGCCCCAAGCTGACCAGCCTGCGCTGCAGGCTGCGTCTCCACACAGGTGCCGCCTGGGTCCGAAGCCGAGTCGGAGCCGCCTCCAGGTTTCGCGGCGACCTCTGCTGCCTTGGCCCCCGCCTCGCGCTTCGGGCGCGTGATGGCGTCCTTGGGGTGTTCCTTGCTTCCGAAATTGAAGCATTTCCGCTCGCTGGCTTGCAGCTTGCGGTGGGGCCACGCGCGCGCCGCCCTGCTTGCAGCCAGCACTGGACTCGAAGAACTCGCAGAACTTCGGCTGCTCCGAATCCTCGCCCTTGCCCTTGCCGTTGGTCTGTTCCCCTCCACGGGGCGCGCCGGCTTTGGCCTTGGAACCAGGCTTCAGCGGCGGGCCGCCGCCCGTGCCAGCCCCTTCGATGAAGGCAATCTGGGCCTCCAGCGACGCGACCTTCGCCTGCACCTGCTTGCCCAACTGCTGGGCCTGCTGGGCCTGCTGCGGCTGCTGCTCCGCGCCGTTGGTAGAGACCTCGCGGGCCTCGCTGGCCAGGAAGCGCCAGAACTCGTCGATCTGGGACTGGCTGCAACCCGCAGCGCCACTGAGGCCCCTCACGAGTTGCCAATTGCTCATCTGGAACTTGACGTCCTCGTCGGCCTCGGCCATCTTGCTCACCAGCGTGCGCAGCGTGGTGAGCTGGATGGTGGGGTCTGGGACGACAGCCCCAAGGCGTTGCAGCCTGATGAGGTCAAACTTCCACCGCTGCATCTCGACGTACACCTCCCCGCGGGCCGGGGCAGCCAGATTTCCGCGGCGCCCCCATGCCTTCAACGTGGCCGGTCTGTCCTGGAGGGTGCCCGGGCCCGCCTCGACGCACACGGCGAAGGCGAGCTCGCTGGAGCTCAACTGTCTGGTGGCGAGCGCCTGCGACTTGATGGACTCAGGCATCGCCTGGAGCAGGTAGGGCCAGTATTTGCATTCCACCTGCCTCTGTGCTCCGACATCTGCCCAGGACGTCTGCAGGCAGATGTGCCGCTGCAGCGGGTCCACGTGCAGGTACTCGTCGTACGATGCGTCCACCGCGGCACGCAGGTTGCACCACCAGGCTTCGACCTGCGGGTGCACCAACGCGCAGTAGAGTGTGCTCGTCTGCAGCCACTCCTCATACTTCGACGCCTTGCTCCCACCTGTCCAGGAAAGTTTGGGCACCTCGTCGCCCTTTAGACGGCTCAGGATAGCAGCCAGACCTGCTGCATCGGCAGGGCTCGCACCCCCACCAAAGTCGCCAGCGGCTGTCGCGGCGCCGAACGGCGGCTGCGGCGGCGGCGGCGGCGGAGGCCCACGGGCACCACACAGCCCGAATCCGCCGAACTGTGGCGGCGCGGCCGCCGGTGCTGCAGCTCCAGGGATGGCCTAGGGCTGCTGGGGCTGCTGACCTCCTCATCCGCCTCCGGGCATGCCTCCTCCAGGCGCACTCGCCGATGACCACAGCCAGGACGCGGCGCCAAGTCCAG